ATTCGATTGTGTGTTTTCAGCAAAAAATAGAACATCACTATATATGTTAAGACTATACGCAATAGCATGCTACATTTTTCCAGAAGCAAACGTATGGACTTCAAGATGGACTGACTACTGGCAGCATTTTACTTAAACTTCATCCAAATTCAAACAAACACTAAGCCAAGAGCTTGCAGCTTGGAGTTTTAAGTTACAGCACTTTAAACCTTGAATTAATGTGAAACTGACTCAAATACTGAGCAAGTGGCAACCTGGGTTTTTGCAGATGAACATTTGACATATCAGAAATGGTCAAAAAATTCTCTAACAAGAAATTGCAAATTGCAAGTTCACTAAACCAGATGGTTAATGAACAAATGCACTCTGGAAAGTATGCTGTAACAGACAATTCCTATTATCTTGGCATTGAAAATACAAAGAATCTTAATTTCACTGATCTTTGACCTATTACCATCATTTGCAAGCATAGCCTAATTGGCCAGAATATACAGGCAGGTGGTCAGCCCATGCAGGATTCTGATATTCATTATCTCAAGGGCAATTAGTCGTGGACAACAAATGCTGATCTTGCCAACAATGCTAACATTCCATGAGAAAGAAAACTGAAAAATCCTTCATCCTGTAATTTAGGAAGTTCCATAGAAGAGCTCCAAAATCAAAGTGAACTTTGTTGTCAGAAGCCAGATTCTAGAAGACCTACTTCTGGTTATGGGATAAAGGGGTGCTATACAGCTCAAAAACAAATCTATCAAAGGTCGTTGCAAAATGTTATTGCAATGTGCAATAGCTGATCCACTTCGGTGTCAAATCAAAACTCAAAGCACTTCCATCTAGGTTGTCCAACACCATGAAAATTCAAAACAGCAGCATAATTCTAGTCGAGCACATCTACAGGTAGAGAATGCTAGAAAACTGCAGTTGAAGTGAGCTGATCAGAGTCCAAATGCCTGATCCCACTCTACCAGTGAAGTAATACAGATTTCTAGACAGACTGAAGACAAGACTTAACAATAAAGCTAATGTGGATAGACAAGTTAAAATAGCTTAAATGACCTTGTTCATCTATATTGCCATTTTAGTAAAGCAAGATGTGAAATGTGTGATGCATTGCCCAACTTATAAAACAAACCACAATACAAGAACCATCAGGTCAAGGGCTTCTCCTTCAACCAACAAGATTACAAGCTTCAGCGCAACTAATACTGTCACTGTAACTCACCCGACAACCAAAAAGGCTAGCAGGCAGAGCACAGATCAAATATTAGTCGAAACAAACTGTTTTTAAAGCTGTATTTAGGTCATGAATAAAGTTATCTTGCAGCTCAACAGATTGCAGCATTCTGATCTGTTCAGGAAGCTGGAGACAAATACCAAGCCGATCTGTATTTGACAGTAGGAAGACATAAAAGTAGCATCTGCCTTTCAGGTTTTGCACACTTTGTTTGGGCCCCCTACAGTTACAAAACGTTTTAAATAATAACTATTTAACCTTGTCAAAATCAACTCAATTGTGAAAAGACAGACTTACAATAGATAATATCAAAGAATCCGTGTGGAAACAGGCCCTTTGGCCCAACAAGTCCACACTGACCCTCAGAGCATCCCATCCAGACCCATCCCCCTATAACCGACCTAATCTACACATCTCTGAACTCTATGGGCAATTTAGAATGGCCAATCCACCTAGCCCACACATCTTTAGACTGTGGGAGGAAACCGGAGAAAACCCACAAAGACAGGGGAAAATGTGCAAACTCCACTCAGACAGTCGCCCAAGGGTTGAACCAAACCCGAATTCCTGGTGCTGTGAGGCAGCACTGCTAACCACTGAGCCACCTTGCTGCCCCAAGGTGAAGGAGCCCTTCACCGCTGGGTGGTTACGAACCACCAACCTTCCATTAACGGTGAACAGCCGTGATTAGAAATGCGCAGTCACTAACAATTTGATAAATCAGGATCATTTTACCTCAGTCCTTAAACTGGATTTATTCAGTAATCATGCAGACTGCATGGTGCCAAAGCTGCTACCGTTTAATGGGGGGGGGGGGTTAATGCAAGGAGGGTACATTCCTTACTATTTTGGGCATATTGTTCAGTTGCTTGCGCGCGGGGTGGTGGGGGGTGACAGAAATGGAGAACCATGTACAAGTTAATGATGATCAATTCTACCTTTTGTTAAAACAGGACGACCAATAAGTATGTCATAACAAACCAACTAACATTCGTTGAACATAAAAATATTTAGATGGATTGAGAATTAATGTGAAACTGCAAAAGAATCAGAAAGGCATCCAAATGTTCTGAGGTACATGCTCTCTGAAATTTTGGTTTGCAGTGCAGCAGCTTATATATAGAAGAATTCTATCCAGGTAACTACACAGTGCTAGTGGCTCTAATGTCATTAAATTCAAAAAAATTCAGGGTTAGGTTGGAAGTTATAACTGTGCAATGAGTCACATGGATTTGTTTGAAGCACAGTTTACAACAAACCTTGGCATTGTTAACAGATTGTTTCAAGTTCCAAAAAAAAACCTCAAGAATCAACCAAGTGGAACTAGAATATAGGGGCCAGAAATGCTGAGAAGAAAACTCAAGACCTGCAGCGTTAGGGAATGTACTGGAAGTGCTGCTTAGAAAACTGTCTTCCATTAAGCATGCAGAGAACTGTCTCAGGTCCACACATACGAAGGGGTACAAAAAAGTGCAGATTTTGGAGCAATTATGTAATTTAAGAGCAGAAATAAATGACAATTAGGATCTTAAAGCTACGCCCCTACACAAGAATATTCAGCAGTCTCCACAATTTAAAGCTTTATATTGAACCAGTCAAACTACACTTGGAGTACAGTGTACTATGGTGTCCAGAAATTTTAAAATGGTAGAAAAGCAGCATTTATACCTAGGAGGAAAATATTTCAATATGTACATGGAGTGGCATCCATAAAAAGAGGTCTTAGAGCCAAAATTTTTGGTTCAAGCCAGAAATGGATACAAAGGTTAAATCAGAAGGTTCGGTAGGCCACAATACCATTGGCAAGTAGTGAATTCTTATGAACAAGTAGTTTTTTTTCTTAAAAAAATGGGCAAATGCAAATAAAAACCTCTGAAATGGTAACCTAGAATAAATGTTTCCCTTTTCACACTATTGCAAAGTAAGTGTGAATCCCGAGTAGGCCAATTTGCAAATAGGAACTAGACTGCAGGAGGAGGGGGTTGCTGTTTGTTGTAAAAAAGGAACCGGCAGTACTTAGACATAGGTCAGCAAAACCATACTTGACCAGCAAAATTTCCCGCTGGATTAATAGATTTGAATTTGGCTACTGTTGTGCTCTTAAGTTACTAAACAGTAATCCAAAGCACGTGTTAAATTCATAAAAAGCAACAATTCAGTAGTTACAGCAAACACGATATTTAACACCCAATTCCAATTACGCACTGTATTGGAATACGGCTCTTCGACTCAAGCTATCTCGAATGTCAGCATATAGAAGGGTACAGTAGCCGTAGCTGATAAAGTTAATTCCTTTTTTAAAAGGATGTAAGAACCGTGATTTAGGAAACCCATTCAGCATTGATCTCTGTGCATCCATCAAAAGAATTCGAAACTTGTTTTATATGGTTTGGCGCAGCCTAGTGTTGGAATTGAAATTGCATTTTGAGAGTTCCCACTTTCCGATGTGTCGTGTGGGCTTTAGGGGATGGGAGCAAGCGAATGCGTGACCTTTTGTCTTTTACGAGAAATAATGCCGCGTGTTAAACCAAAATTCGATAGTTCCCAACGTTGAGACACAAAAAGAGAAAGAGAACCAAAGTTTAGCGACAACTAGCAATAAAACAAAAAAAAAAAAAAAAAAAATCGCTTTGTTCACCCCAGAGTACGGAAAAACGGAGCCGGCTTCCTCTGGAAAAATTCCAGATGACTACGCACGTTAAAAAGAATCCCCCAAAAGTTCCAAGCAAACTCTGCACAGCAGTTCATACAAACTGTCCCGCCACCACTCAAAGAGGGCTTAAAGATAACCGGGGGGAGGAGGAGGGAAGGAAGGAGAGGAGGGAAGAGTGTGTGTGTGTGTGGGGGGGGGGGGTGGGGGGGGGGGTGGGAAGGAAGAGTGTGTGGGGGGGGGGGGGAAGAGGAAGGGAAGGGGAAGGAGAGGAAGGGAAGGGGAAGGAGAGGAAGGGAAGGGGAAGGGGAAGGAGAGGGAAGAAAGAAGAGTGGAGAGAGTGAGAAAAAAAAGGAGAGCCTTAAACCCAGGAATGAATAGACGAAAGAAAACAAAAAAAAGTTTCAAAAATCTTTTAAAGCGTACCCACAATATTTAAAAATAAGAAAGGAATGATTAAAACAAAGTAGAAAGTAGTAAAACTCGAGACAACAAAAACAAAACTAAGTTAATAATGAAGAAGCGACTAAATTGGAATCCCTGTCTGAAAAGAGGAAGGCATCTTCAAAGACAGGGGCGAATGGTTTGCCT